TGTTTTTTTAACACGGTTGTATGTTTTGGCTTGTAGTGCATTTCAATGCCCAAACAAGTATGGGCGTGTGCAGCAGGGTAAGTTATACTCTTGTATGTTGGCTAGTTGTTTGAAAATATGCATGTTATATAAAAGCTTGCTTATGGCTGTGTGTGATTTTTTAATTTGCAGTTCTTCTCCAGCTCCAGTTGCTCCGGTCATCTCGTCTGCTGTGTGAGTGTCTGTCTACCCTCTTGTTTTTTCTATTCCAGTTTCGAAGACATTTTTATCATTGACTTGTATCATGTGAAATTCTGGTAAGTACTTAACTAGGGTTGGATTGGTGGAATTCTGTAATTGTGCAGGCCAAAACCGCCAAAACTAAATGCTAGGAAGGCTGATTTGAATTTTGTTGCAAGAACTAGTCTTTCTATGTGCAAGGACCCAAGACTTGGCATTAAAGTATACACTCGGAAGAAGAATTTGAATGGGAGGCTTGTGAATACGAAATCCATTGTCAAGTAAAGAGATTTTTTGTTTTAGGTGAATATGCTGGTTTTTGGTTATGATCTTGCTTATAGGACAGCCGGGTTACGTGGATTGGGTTGGTACAAACTGAGGGCAACTCTGTATGTGGATGCTGAGCTTTTTGTAAATGAATGCTGTATAGACTTGGTTTTTTGCTTGGCCTAAGTCATTTTGGGTACTGATCTGAAGACGATTAAGTTTGCTCTTACTATTTTCTCTATCTGGGCAGCTTATCTTGGTCACTCACTCTAGGACTGGTAATTTTGGATAATCACTGATGTATATTTACAACTTGTATGCTGTCAAAAATGAAAAATCCACTTCGTGCTCCTATTGATTTAATTGTACGTAGTACATTTTATATACTTCGTTCATGACATAATAATATTGTACTACGTATATGCTTTTCCAACACCTTTTTAATGACCAGCCACCCTTGAATAATTTGTCCACTTTCTGATTATATAAACTTGTTTGATGACTTCCCTTCCCCTATGATTTTATTTAAGACATCATTTACGTCATTTATTTCATGTTCATATATCAGTTAAGTGTTCAAACTTGTGAGCCGCTCAAGGAGGAGGGACTTCCTGTCTCATTAACTACAATTGAATCTGAAAATTTGGAACATACAAATTGGCAGTCACAATTATCTATTAGTCTTGGGCGATTTGGATTTCTCGTAATCAATTGAGGTTTAAGAATGTTGTCAGTTATTGTATTTTCTGTTTTAGCTGTTTGTTGACATTTGTTTTTAGTTTTCTTTTTATTTGATAGCTCTTTTGTCAAAATAAATAAATTATCTATTAATCGTTTCATCTACTACTAATAGCTTAGGGAATGAGATCCTTCTTAGTCCTATGTGGTTAAGGTTGGTATTTCTCTCATTCATTCTGAAGCGATTTGTGTTGAGTTGTGTTGTGTTTCACTGTCACTTTAGTAACACATGTTTTGCCTATCTGCCTTTCGGGGTTGTTTATTCTAGGGAATGTCTCAGCATTTAGCAACTAGAGACAAGAATGTCTCTAGCAAGGACTAATAAATAAATTAGAATAAATGTAAAAAAAAATAAAAGAAAAATAAAATTGCAAAAAAAAAAAAAAAGTCATGTGACTCCAAGAGAGAGAGAAAGAAAGTAAAAAAAACAAAGGTCGGTTCTTCATTATCAATTGAATCACCAAAAAGGAGGAAAAAATAGCCAAAAAAATTTCCAAATTTTTGGTAGTGGAAGGATCGATACATGCGTATCAAAATTTTGGGATCTTTTGATGTTGCTATTGCTGAGGAATTAGCAGCGAGGCATGCCCTCAATGTTGCCTTGGAGGTTGGGCTTCTTCACCTTATTTTGGAAGTGGATAAGTTATCTGAATAGTATTTTTTAATTGCAAAATTATCATCCTATATACGCTAAAATCAATAAATGTTATGCGCCGAGACTTAACCAATTCCTATACCTTGAGAAATTCTCTCTACGTAATAGTTCACTCTTTGACCGTAAAACAAAGCCACTTCAGACCGAAGAAAACTAGTCTGGTCTCTAATTTTTCAGAAATTTAAATTTCCGATTCTCAATTAGATTCGATCTAGTCAAAAAATTAATTAAATCAAAAGGACCTTAATTACCATTAATCTTTGTTCATTGGTCTTATTTTAGTAGTTCACCTGTCACCACGTACATTCTCTTCTTTTCTTTTCTTTCCTCTTAAGTCACCCCTTCACATCCGCCTCTCTCCTGAACCTTCCCTCTCTTTCCTAAACTACCGTTTCAAATCGCCAATTTTCCAATTTTAATCTGAATTTAATCAAATTACTTAATTCCATTATTTGGGTGATAAGAATGGGGGAAAAGGGAAAGGGAAAGGAAATGGGAATGATGATGAAGTGTTTACTTGGAATGGGATACTGGGTTCAAGGATTCCGGTGTTTTCCATGGTTAGCCATTATTTTCTTCCTTAAAGATGGTCTTCAAATTGACCCTTCTACCCTTCAGATTCTTCTCAATTCTGCTAATCTTCCTATGGTTGGTAAACCCCTTTACGGCGTCGTTTCTGATTCTCTCTATTTCTATGGCCAACATCGTCTTCCTTACATTTCCCTTGGAGGTTACCCTTTCTTCCTCCCTCTTTTTATTTTTTATATATTAATCAGTGATGTAGTCGGTATTTGATCCGAGGTGATTTAAACCACCCGAGGACTTTACCGACTGAACTAGCTAGCTACTATATGCAATTTTTAGTTTTTATATGGAATATTGGTTTGTGCTACAGTGCAAGTAAAGTTATGTTGAGCACTTTGTCACTTTACTCACTTAGTCAATTTATTGTAGTATGATTTTATTTTTTTGGGTTTTCTAATGTCATTTGTATGGCCTTGGCATTAATTTTCTTTCAAATTATTAGTACTTGCACTTGATTATTTAAGGTTGTGATTTGTGAATATTGAATTTTGAATAATTTAGCTAGAAAGTGATAGGGGTGGAAGATTTGTATATGTCACTAGAAAAGTCAAATTGTGAAAGTTAAGTTGAAATAGAAAGACTGCAATTTGATGTGATAAAAATGCCATATTTGGTACAGTACCTTTATAATGCTTCGCTCTTTTCACTTGAAGGAGTCGTACTTATTTGTGCTTATTTGAACTTTATGTGTAAAATTCATCCTTAGCTTATTGAACCAGAAAAGGCTGAATTGAGAATTTAATAGATCTTATTTGAACTTGTTGGAGCTATTTTGGAGTTATGAAGTTGTATTTCCTCTGTTTTTGAAAATCTTTAACATTTCCAAATTGCACACAAATTGAAGCAATTGGAGTTTATGTGTTGATTAATGAGCGAAGGTAGAAAAAGGTGGATTAAGTTAGAGAAATTGTAACAAGGTGGGTGAGTGTAAGAAAGACGTGAATAAGATATGAGAGAGTAAGTGAAATTTTTTTAATTATTGTGTCGTAAGGTAGTAAAAGGGATTTGCGAAAAATTGAATAAGGTGACAGTGTTGAGAAGAAGAGGTAGAATTTAGTCAAACTTGTGTAGTCCATATATGAAATATGGACTTATTGTAACACATCAAGACTTATTGGAATTTAAAACTTATTGGAGCTTGTTTAATTTGAATTTTTTCAACTAGTTTTTCCTAAGCTTATATTTGTAAGCTGAAGAATTTAGAGTCTAAGTTTCAAATTGTAGAAGTTGTAGCTAATTTGGTGTTCTGCGGTTGAACTGAAATTGAGCTTAGGCTCCTTTGAAAATGGTTCTATCTCTCGTTTCAGTATTGGATTGTGGCTTTTATTATCAAGTGCTAGTTCTTAATTCTCATATTGTTGGTACAATAGATTTCTTATTTGTTCATGTTTATGGATGTAGCTATTCTGCAAGCTGTTTCATGGATAGCAGTAGCAATGTTTTCTTCGTCAAGCATCTCAATCTCTACCATTACTTTCTATCTCCTTCTGAGCAACTTAGGTGCCTCTATTGCTGAGGTTGCTAATGATGCTATGGTAGCTGAGATTAGCAAACAGCCCGGTTCAGCAAAGAAAGGGAAACCATCTTCTTCAGGGGAGCTTCAATCATTTGTTTGGATGGCTTCTTCAGTCGGGGGAGTTCTTGGGAATTTAGTAGGAGGGATTGCCATTGAAAAGTTAAGCCCACGATTTATGTTCCTAACTTATGGTGCAATACTTATCATTCAGTTCTTAATAACTATATTGGTTAATGAGAGATCTCTTAATCTTCCCAAAAATAAATCTGCTGGTGGGATAAAAGACAAGCTTGCTGAGCTTGCAAGTGCACTGCGCAAGCCTGAAATTGCTTACTCCATAGGTTGGCTTGTGGCCTCTTATGCCATGACCCCTGCCCTTGTTGGAACTATGTTCTACTATCAAACTCAGGCTTTAGGTATTGATTCATCAGTGTTGGGGATTTCCAAGGTGTTTGGCCAAGTAGGAATGCTTTTGTGGAGTTTTTTTTACAACAAGAGCCTGAAATCAGCTTCCCCGAGGAGAGTAATGTGTGCTATTCAAGTGACACTTGCTGTTTTCATGGTTTCAGATTCGTTTTTTGTTACCAAATTTTACCAGAACATGGGGCTTCCAGATTCCGTGTATGTTGTAATTTTTTCTGGTCTACAGGAGGTTCTTTTTTTCTTCAAGATACTACCCTTTAGTGTTTTGATTGCACAGCTCTGTCCACCTGGGTGTGAGGGGTCTCTGATGGCATTTGTGATGTCTGCCATTGCCCTTGCAATGATTGTTGGTGGGTATCTTGGTGTTGCACTTGCATCTTTTGTTGGTGTTACTGGGACCAATTTCTCTGGATTACCGCTTGGACTTTTGATACAAGCAGCATGCACAATACTACCCCTCTTTTTGTCGTCCTGGATACCTGATCATGTAAAGGCCAATGTTGCGAAGAAGAAAGAATAATTCAGTATGTACATCATTATGCTGTAGAGCTGTGAAATAGCTTGTTCAACAATCTCAGATTCTCAGTAAAGGTAGATGCATTTCCTTTTATATCTTTACAAGTTGATTGATTTTAGTGATGAATATGTCTTTGTCTTTCTGAGAGCGATAGAGTTATACATCGTCTATATTTTGTTGTTATGAAGCTCTCAAATAGGAAAACCACTGCAGTAGCTTGAAACCCTAGGCCGAACTCAATATATCTGTGCATGGGTTATTTTACCTTTTGTTGACTGTCACCATAAGGGGGCAACTGGTATGAATTTGGAAATGAAGTGAAAAGGAAACAAATAAGAGGGAGAAAAGGATTCATTTAACTCTTACCTTTTCATTTGTTTGGTTTGATCATGAAAAGGAATCATTTAACTCTTACCTTTTCAATTATTACCTTAGGTTTTAGAGAGGAAACAAATATGTGGAAACCATTACCCTAGGTTACGCAAACCTTCTAACCAAACAGTTGGTAGCGGTAATGGTTTAATTGAATCCATTCCCAACCCAAAAATCACTCTTACCAAACATGCTCGAAATGTTAATTATCTGTTGTTTTTGTGTCATCAAGATAATCTGTGATTTTTTATTTATTTATTTATTTTGATGGGATCTGTGATTTATACTTCCATCAATGCCCCATTTTCTCTTTATAATAAATAAGGTTTAGCTCAGGTCATTTCGTCATAGGGTCAAAGGTATGATTTATAAACCCAAAAGTTTGTAGTTGGTTCCAGCCTTCTAAGGACAGACCTGCTAGCCAGCTTTTAAGCCAGTTTGGGTTGTGCCTATTGTAATTGGTTGATTTGAATTCAAGGTAGTAGTATTTCGAGTTTGAATCAAATTTCAATAGCTCTACAAATGGCAATAAACAGATTGTGAACATCTTTATTTGGCAATTGTTCATGATTCAATAGTGTGAGTACTATGATAAAACAGAGTATAATTTGTTAGGATCCTCAAGCAGGAAACCTCATCATCTACACAAAACATGTCAGATCAAGAAGCCATCCCATGCTCTATATTATACAAATCCACCATTGGCTCGAATGATCTGGCCGTTGACCCACTCACCACCGTCACTAGCCAAGAATCCTACAAGCGGTGCAACATCCTTTGGCTCACCAAGACGTTCCATTGGTGAAGCATTGATTGCTGCCTGGATTTTCTCCTCTGTGGCACCAGCAAAGAATAGCTCCGTAGCAATGGGACCTGGTGCAACACAGTTAGCTGTAATACTGGTTCCCTTGAGCTCCTTCGCCAAAATCTTGGTAATTGCCTCAACTGCCGCCTTGGATGCCGTGTATGCTCCATACCCTGGCCTGTAAACTGCTGCCAGTGAAGATGAGAATGTAATTATCCGTCCTCCACCTCCGCGCTTCACCCTCCTGGCTGCTTCCTTACAGCACAAAAATGTTCCCTTGGTATTTACACCAAATGCTTTGTCGAAATCTTCTATAGAGGTTTCAGCAATGGAAGGATACTTTGGGTCAAGGATGCCTGCTGTGGTCACAACAATATGGGGTTGGGCCTGGAAGGCTTCTTCTGCTGCATTGAACAAGGCCTCGACTTGAGCTGGATCAGACACATCTGCTTGGACTGCGACAGACCTGGTTTCAGACCCATGAGAGTTAATCTGGGATACCACCTCTTGTGCTAGTGTTGGATTTGAAGTGTAGTTGACTACCACTTTAGCCCCAAGGGATGCGAGGTGGAGAGCGATCTCTTTACCAATGCCGCGGGAGGCTCCAGTGACGATAGCTACTCTGTCTTGTAGAGGAAGGGTGCTGGAAGATGATGCATTTGAGTCTGCTGCCATTTTAACAGCTTTGGAGAGTAGGTGTGCGTGTGTTTTGGTGGGTGAATTACTGAATTGTTGAAGTAGTGATTTGTCTGAGATTGGAGAGCTTGTGTTGTGTTCGCCATATATAAGAGATTATGAAGTAATATTATAAACTAGTGTTGATTATTTTATATTTGGAGTAGACTGCAACAAATATAAATTATGCTTCTTATAGCTCTTGATGTCAGTGCTAACGTCTGTTGATCATATGAGGTATATTAATAGCTGACCTTATCTATGTGGAAGCTGGGTTAACTCTTTTTTTTTTTTAATATACCACGTTGTTCCTCTGTTCTTATAAGAAATACTGGCTATTTGTGGTTTTTAGTTTGAAAGTATGATGTATAATAATTTGATATCTAGTTAAATTTCTTTTAATGTGTATATTCACATTTGTTTTTATTTATAATGATTGTTTAGGACAAATCTTAGAAAAGGGTTTCTAGGAATTCGTTAAAGGTTTTATGGGGTATTAGTAATCAAATCTGCCAAAAGAAAATAAACACAACCTCCAAATGAATTAGTTAAGAGCAATAAAATGATAGAATTATAATGATAATTATGAATCAAAGAACAAAGATCAAGATAAGAGAGGCATTTCTGATTAAGGACGAAATGGTGTCAGTAAGGACGACATAAATCAGAGATTTTAATATAAAAGTGTAGTAAATTGTATTAGACAATGTATGAATAAATTCTTTAACAAGGAGCCTCCTATTTATAATGATTTATAAGTCTAATAAAGGTAAATATTGAAGAATAATCCTTGCTATTATGGTAATGTTGACAATATTGATTGGAATCTTCATATCTTAGGAAATGTTGACTTGGTGATTGATATTTCCTTGATTCGCTCCTTCAATCATGGGACTTGATTGTGCTTGTTGCCCAAGTATTCATTACGTATCTTCAAATGGTCCGAGCTTTGAAGGGAAGCTGCCTCACTCAGAAAGGTGCACTTGAGTCTGTATTGTCCGTACTTAGTAGGGACCACTGCGCGGATAATATTCTATCAATCAAGTTATTCATTTCCCGATTTAGCTTTATTTGATTGATTCCATAGTCTTCATAAGATCTTTGATTGATTGTTGACTTTTTGATTGGAAATCCTTGATTAATATTTTTTTGATATCTTTGACCATGCATGCTTCCCTTTTCACCTCGTTTCCATATTAAGTGTAATTGATTATTTTATTATTAACATTTTCCTAATTTGTAACTTGCTTGGAATCCACTCCCAACAATAGCCCCTAGTTTTTCTCTCTAGATATCTATCTAGAGAGGAAAATTGTAAAGTTGTCAATTGCTGTCTTACTCAACACGTAACTTGTAAAATTGATGGTAGTGACAAATGTAGATGAATTTTCTTGTGTGGTAACTTGTAAAATTTATAGCCCCCGATGTTTCCTTGTGTGTTTTATGAGCATCGTGTCTCACGCTATGCCTCTCTCAGTTTTGTAGATGTATGTTTACTATGTTGTGTAGAGATTTGGCGAATGTATCGTTTGTAAATAATGTATGTGTATCCCTTGTATTTCGTATATGTATTGTATTATTGTATGCATCTCATATGTATGTATTTCAGTTGTATTACGGTATGTATTTCAGTTGTGTCTTTCTGTACTGACCGGTCAGATTTGCTGAGATATCCGTACTCGGTTTTTCTGTTTGAAACCTGCTTAACATGTTGGAACTCAAAATGGCATATGACATGTGAATAAATTATTGTCTTCACCTATTGTTTTACAACCACTTTGAAAAAGAAAACGATAAAAGGTCGTAAATCAACAAAGTGTAATAATTTCAACGTTCAAGAGGTGAATAATTTCAAGGGTAAGTATAAACAGAGACGGATTGATTCATTTCTATACCAAACTGAGTTCAGATGTAGTAACTAAGTTCAAAAATCAGAAAAGACAAACTAATTTGGTTTGGTATGGTTCCTAACTGAGTACGGATAAGAGAATTGAGTTTCAATTTCAAAAAGACAAATCAATTTTATTCGGTTCCGGACTGAGTATGGACGGAAGGATTGAGTTCAAAATTAAAAAGGACAAAGAAATAAATTTACTTATGTTCCGTACTGAGTATGGACGGAGGAACTGCGTTCGAAATTCAAAAAGGACAAAGAAATGAATTTACTTCTGTTCCGTACTGAGTATGGACGGAAGAACTACGTTCGAAATTCAAAAAGGACAAAGAAATGAATTTACTTCTGTTCCATACTGAGTATGGACGGAAAAACTCTGTTCGAAATTCAAAAAGGATAAATAAATTTATTTGCTTCCGAGCCGAGTTCGGAAGTCAGAAATGCAACCAAAATAAAGAGGAACATCTAAAGCCCCCACGGGATGAGAATCTAGAGTACATAAAAATAAACAAGCTAAACATGCATTGAAAGAAAGTAAGGAAAAAGTAGGTAAAATGGTACTTGAAATGAGTAATGCTTACAATTCTCCGAATGTCATTAGACCAACTCAGTTTGTAACAATCCGTCCATATTGGTCCTCCTCAAATCGCACTTGGGCCATAGCTTTAGCTTGCACATCTTTGAATGTTGCACAAGGGTACTTAATTAGCTCCTTGTATAGCCCATCTTCTTCAAAAAGGCCTTGACGGAATGCTTCAATTGCAGTGGGGATGTTACACTTATAGATTTTTACTTTCTCCTTGTTAAAGCGATTTAAATAACTCCGAAGTGTTTCTTCACTTCGTTGTCTAATGTGGTATAGATCGCTTGATTGTTTCTCAAGTGGGCGACTAGCTGCAAATTCTACTTTGAACATGTTGATCATGTCTGCAAAAGAACTAATAGAATAAATAGGTAAATTAATGAACCAAGTAAGGGCCGGACCTGATAAAGTGGCTCCAAAACTTTTGCACATGATCGCCTCTCGAATATTTTGTGGTACAAAGCTAGTCATCATCTTTTGTTTGTAGAGCGCAACATGTTCATCGGGATTTCCAGTACCATCGTATGTTGGCATGTTTGGAATGACAAACCGCTTTGGAATTTCCACTAGCTCAATGGATTCGACAAAAGGTGAGTCGGCATAACTGTTGTCAGCTTCTTCCTTGATTGGCCGAGGAACACCGGGGATCTTGTTGATCTTTTCTTCTACTCACTTGACATGAAAATCTACTATATTTTTCAAAACTGGCTCCTCCCTACTCAGAACGGACTGTGATTTCCCAACTTTTTGATGAAACAAAGCGCGAGGCGGGGTACGATCTCGAGATCTGAAATTTTTTTCGTTTTTATGTCTCGAATTGACATTTGTTGCTGCTATTGAGTGAACTTGATTCCTTAAGGATTCGTTCTCAAGAGTTAGTTGGGCTAGTTTGGCTTTTGTTTGGATTTTTCCTTCCAACAATGTTTCTATTTGGATTTTTTGTGAGTCTAGGGTTTTCCTCAAGGAATTCATTTCCTCATGGATGTCGGCCATGGTAATCCATCCTTGGTTCCCGGACATGGCTTGGATTTAGGTTTTGTGTTTAAAGGTTTTAGCAAATTTTTTACTACAAGCCCCAAGGTGGGCGCCAACTTGTTTAGGACAAATCTTAGAAAAGGGTGTTAAAGGTTTTATGGGGTATTAGTAATCAAATCTGCCAAAAGAAAACAAACACAACCTCCAAATGAATTATTTAAGAGCAATAAAATGATAGAACTATAATGATAATTATGAATCAAAGAACAAAGATCAAGATAAGAGAGACATTTCTGAGTAAGGACGAACTGGTGTCAGTAAGGACGACATAAATCAGAGATTTTAATATAAAAGTGTAGTAAATTGTATTAGACAATGTATGAATAAATTCTTTAACAAGGAGCCTCCTATTTATAATGATTTATAAGTCTAATAAAGGTAAATATTGAAGAATAATCCTTGCTATTATGGTAATGTTGACAATATTGATTGGAATCTTCATATCTTAGGAAATGTTGACTTGGTGATTGATATTTCCTTGATTCGCTCCTTCAATCATGGGACTTGATTGTGCTTGTTGCCTAAGTATTCATTACGTATCTTCAAATGGTCCGAGCTTTGAAGGGAGGCTGCCTTACTCAGAAAGGTGCACTTGAGTCTGTATTGTCCGTACTTAGTAGGGACCACTGCGCCGATAATATTCTATCAATCAAGTTATCCATTTCCCGATTTAGCTTTATTTGATTGATTCCATAGTCTTCATAAGATCTTTGATTTATTGTTGACTTCTTGATTGGAAATCCTTGATTAATATTCTTTGATATCTTTGACCATGCATGCTTCCTTTTTCACCTCGTTTCCATATTAAGTGTAATTGATTATTTTATTATTAACCTTTTTCTAATTTGTAGCTTGCTTGGAATCCACTCCCAACAATGATATAATTTAGAAATATACATCTCCATTTTGCAACACAAACGAAATTTAGGGTTTATTTTATGAGTAATGCTATGTGCAGTTCTTAGGGCTGCATATAAGCATTTAATATACTTTCTTTTTTAGTATTAAGTTGAGAATTTATCGACAATTCACAAGTAAAACGGTGTAATAAATGTTTATTTTTTGTCTTGTTCTTTCCATTTTTAGCTTCTTATATGCAGCCCTAAGGGTTGTATATATCTTTTTCTTTATTTTCCTTATTTTATTTATGTATTTATTTTTATTATTTGCATTATTCAATTTCGCTATTAGAACTTAATTTATTTATTATTTTTTCTATCCTAAATTTATATTTGCATACCTTACCTTCCCTTCCATTTCTTCATTCTTTAACTAGCTTTTTGGCCTGTTCAATGCACGGGTTGTTACTTGGGTTAATTATTTTCATATGTAGGAAGATTGTTTCAATTCTAAACTTAAAAGAAAAAAAGAGAGAGGTAGAACCGTGAAAGAAGGTGAATGAATTTAGTTAGATATATACACATGAAGATTGTGGGATATAAAATGACATATTATTTTAAATTATATTTAAAGTCTAGGAGATGAAAATACAATTTTTATTATAATTTGTATGTTTATGTAATGTGTATTAATTAAAACATTATTTTATTATGGTGGAAATGAAACACTTTATTTTCTTACTTGAATTTGCAAGTTGTATAATGCATAAAGAGTTAAACATAAATATTAAAGGAGATGACATGTGGCATATGAGGTGAATAGTGACTTGTGAATTGTGATGTCATGTGTCATATGAAAAATTTGTGGTTTGTGTTGAGTAATTAGGTTTTGATGATTGTAAACTAATGATGATTATCTATCTAAAGTGTTTGTTAAGTTATGCATAGAAAGAACAAGTTATTCTTGGAATAGGATACAAGGAACCTGAGCAATGTCATATATATATATATATATAAGGAACCTAAGCAATATATGATAAGCAATAGAGAAACAAGAACAATGATGAGTGTTGTGGTTGATAAACATGATGATGGCTAAATAACCATGAA